ACCCCCAAAACAAACCCCCCCGGGCCCTTCCCCAAGCAGAGTCTGAAGGCACTTCCTCTCACATGATGTCGACAAAGAATTCACAAGGGTTGCCCATCGCCTTCTGGAAGGACTGCCGGCTCCCCGTCAGCTCTGGAGGAACAGAGCTCAGTTCCCTCACGGGGGGCCCTCCAGGGGGTCCGCTCGTCCCGTAGACTTTGGAGCCCAGCTTGGGGAGATTGTAGAGGGGTGGGACTCCTGGAGGCCCGTAAGAATGATGGCTGTGGTGGCTTCTCTCGCTGTGGGTGGCAGAGACGTGACTCCGGTGGCTGAGCTGGCTGACAGGCCTCTCCCGACGGACGACACTGGCGCCGCCGCCGCTGCGGGCAGTGTGGTCAGACTCGCTGCCGCTGCCAGCCGACTTGCGGTCCTTCTCTCTGCCCAGAGCTCTCCTGCTGTTCTCGCTGTTGCTTCGGTTCGAGCCACTGCTTTTGCTTCCTAAAGCCCAGGAGTGAAAAGGACACCCGGAAAAGCAGAATTAGCTCAGGTCCACGCCTGTCTCCCACATCAGCTCCTACCAAAACCCACAGATGCGGGAATGACCATTGTAATGGCAACAATGATGACAAAACCAGGCCCGAACGTGCTGTTGGTGGCTTATGGGATTCAGCAATGACAATCGGTAGAACAAAGCTGACAAGGTTGTGCCATGCACAGGTACACAGACACCTTAGAGCTTGCACAGTGAAAGCAGCAGCTAGCCTAGAACTACTGGCTGAAAGCCATTTGCTCCGCTGCCGCCCCACCGACTGGAGAGAGGAGAGGAGCAAAAAAGGAAGGAAGAAGCGGCATTTGGGTTTTGACTCAAGCAAATGAGGTTCAATCTAATTGTAACTGCATCTGTCTTTGCTATCTTCTATCGGCAAAGCTTTTCAAAAAGAAACTTATCTGCCTTCTCTATCATCCTTGGTCACACTGGGCACACTCATGCCCAGGGCCAAATCACCTGCGGTTAACAGATGTCCTTTTGCTGGCTTCAGTGGGTAGCTTCTTTTAAAATTCATCACTACAGTGTTCTGTTGTTGGACAATGCTTCAAAAAACAGTATTTGTTGAACTGCTCTACGATGAATCGGCAACATGCAGGATGTTCCCAGCAGAGGCCACTACATCAACTCGGAAAAACAAAGGACTGCTGCTGGTGTGTAAGCTGAGTTGTGGCTACATACAAGCTTCACTAAACTTCAGAACTGATTTTACATGAAAGTTGAAGGTCATGCTCTGTTACCACAAGAGATAGGCTAGGGTGATGTCAGGAGACATTTCCAAGTTAATTATTCTTCAAAAAACCCAACAAACCAACCCACAGAATATCTCATTAAGTTCATGCCATCTTAGTGCAAGATTGTCTTCCCAAAAAGGATCCCAGCCAGCCGAACAGGGGACCAGCTTTTGAGTCTGAATGAGCCACTGAGTCACTGAGGTCACTGAAACAGGAAAAACAGAATGATTCTGAGCTGCTCCTTTCTTGAACTACAGATGATCATGACCTTCCGTCTGCTCCAGCTGATCTTTAGAGCAGGCAAACAGAAGAGAAAACTAGGAAAACTAGACTGACCTGGTGCATATAGTTGAAAGGCTAGATTCCCCTGCAGAGTGCAAGAAAAACTGGGGATAGATGGAAAACACAGAATACAAAATCACTGGACTTGAAGTCAATATTCTGAGCCTGGGACTCTGAAGTGGTATTTGTGGATTGTAACCCCTATCAGCTCTTTGCTCTGGGAAAAACACTGTCCTGCTTTGTGCCTCAGTCGTCTTCCATCTGTAAATGGAGATATTCACAGGGGTCCAGCTGCTCCGTCAAATACTACAAAGATTCATTAAGGTGAGCTTTTGAAGGGGTAAGGTGCTCCCTGAGCTGTCATTTCAAATGTTTCATAACAATCTTGTAAAGACAAATAGGAGAGGAGAAACTACCTGTTAGCAGGTTGACTGTTACAGCCTTTGCTCCAAAGAACACATAGAGATTATCTCCTAGGAGCATCTTTGTAAGCTCTCCAGTGTGGCACATTGTTCACAGTGGAAGAAAATCACCATGTTATTTTAACCCTTCCACAGCTCGTATGCCTCTGCCTTTATCTCATGATGCATTCTGCTGCCACCCATCCAAACCCTGCAAACCTTACCCAAAGTCATTACTCCTTGATGCAAGCTCCCCATACACAAGAACTCATTGCCAGTTCCATAGCTTGTAGCTGAGTAAAGATCTTGCAGGGGAGAAAGCAAGCTGCACTGAAAGCATATATTGCTGATCTTGAGAGGTCTTCCACAGTCAGTAGGACCGAGACTGTCTTGTGGCAATCCATCACAGTGCTCCTCCAGGCTTCAGTATATCAGGAGCAGCAGCTCTAGCTGATCTGCCAAGACTCCAAGAGCTCAAGTGGTTAATGCAGACTTCTTATCTCAGAAGCACCTGCTTTCTGCAGCTGCACACCAAGCTGATGACATGGCAGAAAGAAAACAGAGAAACCATCTACCATGACGGCAGTCTATCTAAGAATAATCAGCAGCATAGATGTTCTCCTCTGGACATGCTGAGGTTCACTCTCTCCCCAACATGCCTTTAAATCCTGTCACGGAACAAACAATGAGAAAGTCCTTCTAAGCCTTGAGTTTAAATGCAATCTAGCAAGAGTGTTACCTCCTGGGCAGCTAGGCACTGGCCTGTCTTGGCGACATGCAGCCCAACCTAAAGCTGAGGTTTGAAATGCTGCTAACTTGATACAACCACAGCAGTGTTTGTTTCCATCTAAGGCCAACTTTAAAGCTAAGTGTCATAAAATGGATTTAAAGAATCTGCATTTCAAGTGCCTAGAAAAGCTTCACTTGGCATTGCCACAACGTATTATCAGCCTTTACTCTCTGTTACTGCTGGACAGAAAACTGCTACCCCCTAAAGCCACAGAGACTCCAGCTGCCTCAATACTTCATTTCATGGGAACAGACGCTTCCACACGAACCCTTCTGGACAGGGGCAGGAGGGCCTCCAGAGACAATGTACAGAGGCTCTGAAGACCCTTCTATCATTCCTGTCCCAACGACTGACGTCCTGTGAGCTTGAACAAATCCATCCTTCCTACTTCTTCCATCTCTTCAGACCGTAACCTGATGATCTCTCACTATCCATCTGTACAGCCAGCATCTACCAGAACAGGGACATGACTTTGATCTAAACACTACGGTAACAGAGATGATGGTTTGCAGAGGAGCTGCTCATCACACCAGTGCCATTCCCTACAGCAAATCTGCCCCAGCCTTTAAAAATAACCTAAGCCCTAGGTACCACAAGCAGGGACAGATGATGTGGCTCAGGTGAAATAAGCAGAAACCTAAATTGGAACAGAGCCTTGAACAGGACTGCAACATCATATAAAACTTTGCTAGATCTCCTCTCCATCTGTTGCTTGCCAGAACACAGCTCAGTCTGTCTCTTGACCCAAATCTTAGGCTTTTGCCTGTAATCATCAGTAAATACACTGCATTCGTCTCAAAAACACGTGACATTCACTGGGCTCTGGAGCAGCACTCTTGATCACCAGATGAATTCAGTTATGATCTAACATTGCACATAAAAGAGAGACTTCACAAGAAACCCAATTCAAACACTCTATATTGAGAGCAATCAATGCAACCTTGTGTCCCAGTACTCTTAATACCTGCCTGAGCCATCTGGACAGTGCTCAAGTGTCTTTCAGTAAACGAGCAGTTGAAGGGCACTGGTAGATAAATCCAACCCAGATGGATGACATCAGACTAATAAATCAGGAGCTAGGATTATTTATTTATTCATTTTATGAAGGGCAGTGAAGAGACTGGTGATAGGATTTTCCCACCGAGCTGACAGTGAGGTATCTGACGCCATGCCCTCTGTAGCTGCCGCAGCGCAGTCACACGGGGGCCTGACAGGGTGATAGGCTAATGCCACTCTATTGGACTACTGTGCACTGAGACAGGTTGAGCGTCCAAGACAATTAAAAAGAAAAAAAAGAAAAAAAAAAAAAAGAAAAAATACAGCTAAACATTTGGGTCACAAGAGTCTAAATGATCATGCTGTGAATTCATTATTATTATGGAGGCATTTGAAGCTTACCAATCCCCTAGAGTCAGCCATTCCTCTATGAATCCTTCAGTCTAATGCTTGCTCAGAACAAAACAAGGGAATAACAGTTACAAAACAAGAAACAACACAGAAGTGTAGTTTCCAAAAGAAGAACAAGGAAAGCGTTGAAATCCTTCAAAATTAAACACCTTGGCGCCTTTCATAAGGCTCTCTTTAGCCAGTAACACAGGTCGCATGGATAAAATACCATACCTTTCCTATTCCAGCAGCAGAGATCTAATATTCTACTGCCTGCAGAACCAGCTGCCAAGAAAAATAATCACATTCTTTCCAGCACAATCGGCTTGCAGTTCTAAAACCTGGATACCACTGTGAGCTTCCTCAAAGACACTTCTTATTTGGAGATAAGGTGGGAAGCAATGGTGCTAAAATCTTGTGAGCACGTTCCTGTTATGAAATTCTTCAGTGTAATTTTGCAAAAATCTGTCTGGCTGCAGTAAACAGGAAGAAGTTACATCCATCCGAGATACTGGATGTTCACCACAAAAACACAGAGAATCCTCACCCTTGCCTTACTGGCATTTTCAAAAATAAAACTCGCTCTAGAAGTGATTTTTTTTTTTTTTTTTTAAAAAAAGGCAGAAGGGCCTTATCTGTACAGCCAAAAAATGCATATTTTTTATTTACTAAGGTTTAAAAATGAACGACAAAATTATCTTAGGGAAGGAAAGGAGGAGGTCAGGTTTTTAATCCATGCAGTATTATCTTTTTTTCCCTGTCATATATTACGAAAAATCTCCTCCCTGTGAGCAGTGTTTCAGCCCTGTAAACCATCTGGCTGGCCACCTCACGCTTGTCTCTCACAAGCAAAGAGAATGATTTTCCTGAGCATTGAAGTGAAAGCCAAGAGCACCTCGGTTCTAACCCCTGTTCCATCAGCAACAAAATGGCCTAGTTTCTAGCCATATCAAGCAACTGCAGCCCCACTGTTGGCAATGGCTCTGACCTCTAGAAAGGGGGGCAATAGTTTATCTCTTTTAACAGGGTGGACAACTGAGTCGTTAATGTTGGCCTGATTGGCTTTATCAAAGCAGCAGTTTACCGTGTGGTGCTGTCAGGTAAGAGAAGTACAGATGCCCATACCACCATGGACATGTCAAATAGCTTGGCTCTAGTTCCCCACTGGCATTTTGCACGGGGTACAGAAGTACAGCATCACTACAAACAGCATGTATTCTATTCCACTGGCTCAGTTAAAACATCGCTGGCAGTTTCAATACAGAGCTGAAAGGCTAACCCACTCCATCACATACACAAACGGTTCTGATTAAGTGCGGTCACACCAAATCCATGCAGGTAGCATACAAAACCACAAGACAGGAGCACAGACAGTACGAAGGAACTCAAGCAAATGGTCAGGGATAATGACAGCTGTAGAAATAAATACCAGATTAACCGTCTTACCTTCACTTTGCTGGCTCCCTGCACTGCCACTACCATAGCTAAAGCCTGGGTCTTGGTATGCTGGTGGAAAACATGGAGGGGGCAGAGGATACTGATACGGGTATCCTTGGCCTAATGGCCAGGGAGCAGCAGGATGTGGGAGTGGAGCAAGGGTATCCTGATCCGAGGCTCCGCTAGAACCATTGTTAAGGTTCAGTGCAGCCATATCTGGAAAAGAGAGACAAGGTGAAGACTCTGTTCTTACCTAGCAGCTGATGCTTGCCTATTAATAATGGCTGACACAGCACCTACTGTGGTGAGGGACTCGGCCTCCAGAGTTCACTCAAAATATCACACACGGTAGGGCAGACATCAGTATTTACCACTGAGCACCAAGGTACCTTTGCAGCACTTCCGTAAGTCAAGGAGGAATCATCCCCATTTTACAGACTGGAAACTGAGCGTGACTGACAAGCAGGAAGTCTGGGCATCACCAGAAATAAATCCTGCTTTCTTGAGCCTCGGTGCAATGCCCTATTCGATGAGTTCATCCTTCCCTTCCAAGAGGTCTAATTGCTTGGTCTAACAGGAAATGTCAACCACTTGTCATGCAACGTCAGAATAATGGCCTGTTCTGAGACGTCCACTTGTGAAACCCTACAGGACTCTCCTCTGTGCGTCCTGCGAGCACAGAAGAGACAACACGCATGCCGCTTTGCCCTTCACAGAGGGGGAACTTACTGCCACAGAGGTCTCCAAAGACATAATAGCACTGTTCCGAGAAGGTGATTTTGTTCACAGTGTGCCTGAGGTAGCCATGTTTTAACATGCTGCTGGCGTATTTTCTAGCCTCCCGTCGGTCTTTGAAGCCTTCCACGTGTGTGTAAAGCCAGTCAACCACATCTGCTCCTAAAATGAGAACAGGAAGAGGAGATACAGGATCATCTGAGACGAACTGATCTTTTTGGTCTTTTAATCTTCACATTATCAGATGGCCCATTAGTACTGCTGTGCTAGGTACTGAATGCAAATATGAATATGTAGCAATCTTGCTGCAAAGAGCTTAAAATGTTATTTTCATGACTCAGCCTAACTGCTAAATTAGTTACCACCAAACATCAATAAAGAAAGCAAAGAATTATCTTGCATCCAGTTGAACACTACATTAACAGTGACACCATATGCACACAGAAAATTTTATAGTTACACTGTTCGACCCCTTCCGAGTTGCAGCAATGAAAATGACGTGGGATTTACAGGACAGAAGTGATTAGGAGAGTCATCTTCCTCAAGAGGCAGATGTTATGTTGTCAAAAGACCTGGGTTCCAATCCCTTTCTCAGCCAAAAGCAACTACAACCTAGACTGAATAACTGTTAGCACAGTTCAGGTCACAGGACAGTCAGAATCAATGGTAGACTAGTTGTGGTAATTTTAAATGTAATTAAGATGCTTTATTAAGGTTGTGTGGCTGTCTGGAACTGGAATTACAAGGATTGTTGCTATGGTGAACTTGGGCAGATCGCCAGAGGCACAAGTACTTACATAGAAAACCCGAGATACAACAAGTAAGGGTTAAGGACCAGCTGCGTGGGGGTATGAGAAACGTGCAGTATTTTTGGCTGTCCAGGCGCAAACAAGAGCTAATCGTTATTTCCTGTCACACTTAGAGTTGTTCACAAATACCAAGTCAAGGAAATACAAGAGGCCATAGCCAGGGGAAAAAAAAGTTCATAGAAAGACAGTTTCTTCAGCCTATTTCCAAAAAGCCATGTTTTTCTTTTCCCCAGCATTCCTTTGATCTGCTTACCTATCACTGCATTGGAGATGGTAATTTTTAACCACATCCTGTCCCGGATTTCAAGGCCTGAGTCTGGTAGCTGCATAACCTTGACAATAGTAGCCATGTCACTCTTCACAGTTAAGGGAGATTCTTCTAATTCTAAAAGGAAGAAAGGTTACATGCTTCTTTGAAATGACTCGAGTCTGAAAAGAACTTCTCAGTTCCCATTTTGGATGAAACGTTTCAAGACACAGCTTTACCAACAGATGCAAAAAAAGACACAAAGGTTCCCAAATGCACCCTCATCAATGGCATAAATTGCAGCATTTGTACCAATTCTTCAGAGATTGTGCTCGGTGCAACCAGTTTAGTCACCGAGATGCTGAGTCCCTACGTGCCTTGACTTCACAGACCAGCTATATATCAGCGCTTTCGATCCACGCTGCATTGAGATTTGCAGACAAGGAAACCCAAGGAGGTCTACGACCACTGCTTTCCATTTCAATTTGCCATGAACAGCCCTGACCCACCCAAGGGTTCAGTGCACTGTATGCAAAACTCTGTAGGACAAGGGGCTTTGGCTTGTTCTTTCACTTTTGGTTTAATTGTCGGGAATGATACCCATCTGCGTGGAGAAAGATGACGACCATGTCTCAATCAATCTCCATTTGTTTTTTTAAGATTTGGACATCAGCATAATTAGGGAGAATTGAAATTAGAAAAGAAAGCTTCCATCATCAGGATAAAGGCTAGTGGTTTCCTTAAAAAAAAAAAACAAACATATTTCCAGGATCCCAGTGATGGCAGCCTTACAAGCTAACAAGTCACTTAACCCAGCATTACTTTGCCCTGCATTTTTCTGCAGAACACTTACAAAACCACTACTCCCAAATGCCTCAGCAGCTGTCAGTGCTCCGTTCATCTTTCACACACTCAGGGGCAGAGCTGGCTCACCAGAGGCTTCACACTTTCCTGATCAATTTTTAGAATAAAAGCAGAACAATAGGGCTGAGATTC